CGGAGCCAACAGCCTCGTGAGCTCCACTCCGCTCACATGCTCTGATACAAAGCCTCATTAATAATTTAGCCATACTAAGCTGCTTATATTGTGGGCGTAAATAAATGTCCGTATAGCACAGAAAAGGTGGCGCACCACCAAATTTTGCGCCTGTCATCTGAAGCCTTAGTGATTATTGCGCATGCGCGATTTAATCGCGATTTGATATCGTTCAGCCCTACTTGGCAGCATGTAGTATAAGAATCAAGGCAACAGGTACTTACCATACTTTGAGGAAGCATTTTGATGATGTAAATCCCATTTCTGTTTATTTCTCTGGCTTGAATTAGAGATGTTTTGGCCACTGCTCCATGAATTTCATGAGCATTTACTAACCACTCTCTATGAATATAGGAATCTTTCTGGAACAGAAAATATATTTTCAATTTTACAATGACTGAATTAAACAGTTAAACCATCCTAGATGAGGCAGTGCAACTACCTTGTTTGGCAGGTACTTGTGTATAAAACTTAACTCAACATAAATCCATTTCAATCCAACAGTGTGCACTAACATAGAAGTCATAGTTTAATTTTTGTAAAACGCCCCAAGAAAATATAGTTTAGTGGTGTGGTCAGTCAAGGATCAAGGAACGTCACCCAGGCCAAAGGATCACAATGAGTAGGGCTGTGGTATTAGTGAATTAATGAAAGTGATTGTCATTGTTGACACACCATATCACATCAACAAAATGTGTCCTCTGCATGTAACCTATATGTAACATCAAGACACAACAGTGGGCAGCTATTATTTAGCACCCAGGGAGCAGAGCTTGGGAGCTGTACATTGCTCAAGGTACCTCAGTGGTACCTTGCTGGTCATGGGTTTGAACCGGAAACCTTTCAATCACAAGTGCACTTCCCTAACTGTTAGGCCACCAGTGGAAAAATCATAATCATGATTATTTGAGTCAATACTGAGGTCACAATTACTTTACAACACTACTAATTGATGTTGGAAAAATCAGGCGTTTATTGACCTTTGGTCTTTTTAATAATTGATTTCCTTGAACTTCATCTAAGAAACAAATAAAAGGGTGCACTGGGTTTATAACACAAGACAAAATGGGAGCATCACTGCAAAACAAATTGAGGCACAATAATTATTTTATCTCCATTATTTTGTTTTGATAATTGTTGGAATTCAAAATAGTGACTGAAATTCAAATTCGATTCATTTCCCAGCCCTAACGTTTAGCAGCCTTGCAGCAGTTGGGGTTAAGGGCCTTGCTCAACAGGCACATGGTTAGTCTACCAGCTCCAGATATCAGCACAGAAAGCTACACATCTGAAGAAGTCTGTACTAGGACAAAGAAGTAATCTGTGAAAATTGGATTTTATAGTTTCTCATATTGCACAAGAACAGAAAAATTATCAAATTGAATGTACCAGTTTTTGTAAAAGATTTTGGTCATTCTCGAGGGACTTGTTTAGCTTCTCAATTGCATCCATTAATTCACGGAACCCAGAAGTCTCATTCAAATCATAAATGATTGATGAAGAGGCCAAGACTGCATCTCTAAAATCACAAACTTTATCTATGTCCATGTTATTTTCCCCAGCAGAGATTGAAGCTATGTCAACAAACACAGGAAGTTCTCTTATGTCTGCAGAAAACAAAAGAAATAGAAATATTTTTATCACCAAAGCACCCACTTTTACTGTTACTTTCTAAAATGTGTCCTTAGCTAACCTAATTACTCCTTGAATAAGTGTATAAATGGCAAAAAAAGAAGTACAAATCAATCTAAAATTAATGAATTAATAGATGTGTAAAAAATTAACAAGGTAATCATTTTGACAAAAATACTGCATTTAATACTCAATACTGTGACTGTATTGAAGGCTTTTCTTATAAGTAAATAAACAAATAACTAACAACAGTGTTTTTACTGAAATAGTGTATAATAAACATAGAAGGACTGTCAGAAAATTCACAGTGGTTCTTAAGGGATTTTATCAAGAAAGTTTTATATTTAAGATAAAAATATATGATCAAACAAGACTAAAATTGTGGGTTTTACCTTTGATGACAGTCTTAATCCACTTGATGAAACCATTTGTGTTGCAAATTTGTAATTGTTTAAGGAATGATTGGGGGATATTTTTCAAAGAAATGGCAGTGTTTTCCATGTCATGAGTAATATCTCTCAATGTTCTCTCTTTTTTGTTCATACACTAAAAGATATTTAAGATAAAAATTCGGATTATAAAGAATTCCTATAGTGAAAGAAGTAATAATAAGTGCAATATGCATACAAAATTTGAGAATACTATAGAAAAAATACAGTAGCAGTATTAGTACAATGGTTACATACACAGAAATTTTCTACGTTGCTGAAGTCCCCTTTCAAATTGAAGTCATCCTTAAATTCCATTAACAGCTCTGCATGCTCCATAACAGAACAGAGCTCTCTGTAGCGTTTGATGTGAAGCGCCGTCGTTCTGATCCAGGCATGGTCATTATCCTTACTGCAAATCATCCCCAACATTTGTAGTTCATGCTTTGTCAGTCTGCTTATCTGACATTCTAAGTCAGATAATGGCATTGATAATTCTTTGAGGTGTTTGTAAGACACACTGATGGCTTCATACACAGGCTTGTAAATTTTTTCAAGAACATCATTCACTGAGATGGATGAAATATTTTCAAATTCTGTCTTCTTTGCCTGTCGTGTCTTTTCTAACCAGATGGCTTTAAAGTATGTACTTTGCGATGCAACTTCAATGTTCCCAAGCATTTGGAACTCAGAAAAAGCATCTTGAATCTGTTTCTTTAGAGAAATCGATGTTCTGGCATTGTCGTAGGTAGCTAACATCAACTGGAAAACAAACAATAGGTTTTGTCATATGATGAATTGCATTTCAAATAATTAAGTCTACATTTGCATAGCTTCCAATAATCATACCTGTGAGTATAGCAGCAATGTGGTCACAGAGGAAAATTAGACCCTTAATTTGTTTTTGCTGCTGTTCGAGGAAATTTAAGTAATTTCTGGCTGATTCCAGAGCATTCTTTAAGTTCTTTTCCTCATTCTCTTCTGTGAAACAAATATTTAGGAAAGCAGTAAGGAGAAAAGGAAAAATGAAACAGCTCACTATTTAATGTTTCTGGCTCATTTAATGGCTCATTAAAGGTTCATCCTCATTGCTTATGGGATGCATATTGTAGACACAGGTTTGAACTTTTTTTTTCTAAATTATTCCTTAAAGGTACTGGATGTGTTTTTCAGTCTTAATCAATAAAAATACTATTTGTTTGACTCGTTTTACCTGTGCCCTATCTGCCATTAATGTATCCATGTAAAATACTTACCAACAAATAACTGACATAATTTATCAGCGTCATCATCATTTAGAATATGATACACCACTTTGGATGCCACTGAATTTTTCTTAATGTGACTCAGTAGTGTTTTCATTTCTTTTTCTGCAATTTCAATCAATTTCTTGGCTTGATGTAGTGTTTCATTGTAGCCGGGATCTTCCTTTTGACATTTATCTAAAAAATACAAATTGAAACAATTTTCCTAAGAAAATTACTTTTGTGTGAAATAAGTAACAATTGTACATGTAACTGCGACATTTGAAAGATTACTATGTAGAAGGTGTGCACTAGAATAAGTAACTTAGAAATTAAAATAATAGTTCAGGAAATGGTGTTTGATAAACTTTCTGAGTTTGATTTATACTATTTATTAGATTGTAACTTATTAATATTAATATTAAATGAACTTACACAAAACAATCAAAAGATTTCTGCAATGAGAATTCTTGAGAAGGTACAGCCAGTCCTTGTTATTTGATTGCAGAGGTCCTAGTATTTCCGTGACAGTCACAGACATTAATTTCTTACGTCTTGACACTTTCTCCAAATAATCCTGTTTAGGCAGCAATATATTCAAGCAAAAACTGAGTATTTTTTCATTGATTTATAATGGTGCCATAAATCAGAAACAAACACAGTAATATTGCACAACTAATATCTTATTTGTGTTGTAGGCATGGAGATAAAGATCTCATAAACTCAAAGTTGAGTCTAACCTAAGTAATTGGCCGGTGAATTATGAACAAAAACATAAACTTAAAAAAAAGAATGATGCCTCAATCTGGAAAGAAGTGTCAAGCATTAATTTAAAAAATGAAAATAGCTATTTAACCCTCCACCACTACTTGCCATTGGTGAATGAGCAGTTGTTTCCTTCACAAGGTCTCTGATTGCTGTGGTGGCACATTTCAAAAGACAGTCATCTAGTGCTGAAATCTCTGGTACGTTCTCACAGCAAAGTTGTACTTGCTGCAATGGCTTCATCTGTAAAATACAAAAAAAAACTTATAGTATTGTAGTAAAAGTATGATAGGCAGTGACATAGCTTAAAATGAAATTGCAGATGGACCAGAATAAAAGTGGGTGGGCACACAATTCAATATAACTCATTGCATTCACAGTACGTTCTAAATGTGAAAGTGTTCTGCTATGCATTGACCTGCTGTGTCATCATACTGACATCCATCAACAGCACACTCTAAGAAAATTCCCTGTAAAATTACAGTAAATTACTGGCAGCTTTGGTCGCTAGTAGTTTACTATCAATTTTACAGTTAATCTACTGCAGGAGTCACCAACCTTTTTGAAACTGAGAGCTACTTCACGGGTACTGAGCCATACAAAGGGCTACCAGTTTGATACACTCTTCTTAAATCATGTATTTTAAATGCTTTTTTTTTTAGATATTGTCATTTTCAAAACTATATAAATACAAATGTGATTAAAGAAGAATAGCAACAGGATAAAATTAAATTTTAGAAACTGCTCACTGGTGAGTTGTGATATTTTTAGAACAGGTCTGCGGGAGACTCATGTGGTCCATGTTGGTGACCCCTGATCTACTGTAATCTGCTTTGCAATATGTCACTATTATAATACCACACTGAAAAAATAACCTCTAGGACAGGGTTCTTCAACTCTGGACCTCGATTCCAAATCCAGGCCGTGTTTTCAGTTCCCCCAGGTAGTTGTTTAATAATTACTGATTCTGATTGGTCAGAGGCTTCACATCTGACTGACAGGTAAAGGAAGGATGGAAAACCAGCAGTGCTCGGACCTCAAGGACCGTGAGTTGAATAACCCTACTCTAGGACTTACTCAAAATAATGAAGGCAACATTTTTGCCCTCACTCATTTTGGGTAAATTTAACTTTTTTATCAGTAAAGTAAACCCAAGTTTAGCAAATAATTTACCCAGTGCCGATTAAAGAACCCTTTTCAGCATCTGATGTAAATTGGTATTGGGAATCACATAAGCATCTCTGCTAGCATGAGCTTGATGTCAGCGTATTAGGATGAATTCACGGATGATTACATCTTGCATGTGGCATGGAATTAATCCTTTCACTGAAATATTCTGGGAAGTTGTGATTGAGAATTATTTCTGATAGTGTATGGACTAATCATCCTGAAATTCAGATCAATCGTCCACAATTCACCCAGAATGTTATTGAACTGCACAAACATGTAATTCTTCACCGATCACCTGTAAAATCTATTTCTTCATAAATAACTTGCATCTCATAAAAAAAAGCCAGAAAGGCAGTACCCTGTCATGCTATGCAAATATACATCAGCACTATTGGTCTTCAGGACCTGCCAGACTTTTGACCTACATTTTACAATAGATTTTTTTA